TTTCTGATTCTCCAAAATCTATTTTATCACTCTGTATGACCATGTATACCCATCATTTAGCTCCCATTTATAAGTGAGTACATGTAGCATTTGTTATTCCTTTCTGAGATACTTCACTTAGGATAATAACTTCCAATTCCATCCATGTTGCTGCAAAATACATTATTTCATTATTCTTTATGGCTCAGTTGTATTCTATGGGGTGGGTGTGTGTGGGCATACATATATATGTGTGTGTGTATATATATGTACACACCATATTTTCTTTATCAGCTCATCAGGTGATCAGCACTTCACAATTGTGAATTGTGCTGTGGTAAACATATAAGCGCATATTTCTTTTTGCTATAATGACTTTTTTCCTTTGGATAGATATCCAGTAGTGAGATTGCCAGATCAAATGATAGGTCAGTTTTTAGTTCTTTGAGAAGTCTTGGCTGGTCCAACAGTAGTGAGTTACATCACTTGATTGTTCACAGTCAGTTACAGATTGAACTCCTTGTTCGAATCCTTCCCCTCTTCTCACTACTGCACTGGACTAGTCTAAAAAAAATAAAAAGAAATCTCCATACTGTTTTCCATAGATGTTGTACTGATTTCCATTCCCACCAACAGTGTATAAGCGTTCCCTTTTCGCCACAATCATGCCAATGGTTATTGTTTTTTGACTTTTTAATAATGATCATTCTAACAGGGGTAAGGTGGTATCTCAATGTGGTTTTAATTTGTATTTCCCTGATGATTAGTGATGTTGAACATCTTTTCATAGGTTGGCCATTTGTATATCTTCTTTTTAAAAATGTCCGTTCATATCTTTTGCCCACTTTTTAATGGAGTTATTTGTTTTTTGTTTTTTGGCTTTTTTTACTGATTTTTTTAGTTCCTTATAGATTCTGAAAATATTAGTCCTTCATTGGATATAGTTTGTGAATATTTTCTCCCATTCTGTAGATTGCTGTGTACTCTGTTGATTATTTCTTTTGCTGTGTGGAAATTTTTTAGTTTAATTAAGTCCCATTTATTTATTTTTGTTTTTGTTGTTTGCTTTTGGAGACTTAGTCATAAATTCTTTGCCTAGGCCAATGTCCAGAAGAGTTTTTCCTAAATTTTCTTCCAGAATTTTTATGGTGTCAGGTCTAATATTTAAATCTTCAATTCATCTTAAGTTAATTTTTATATTTAGTGAGAGATAGGGTTCCAAATTTCATTCTTCTCCATGTGGCACTTCAATTTTGCCAGCACCATTTATTGACTAGGGCATCTTTTCCCCACTGTATGTTTTTCTCTGCTATGTTGATGATAAGTTGGTTGTAGGTATATGGTTTTATTTTGGGATTCTCTATTCTGTTCCATTGATCTATGTGTCTACTTTTATACCAGTATAATGCTGTTTTGGTTACAGTAGCCTTACAGTATAATTTGAAGTCGGGTAGTGTGATGCCTCTAGATTTGTTCTTTTTGCTTAGGATTGCTTTGACTATTTTGGCTCTTTTTTTATTTCCATGAAATTTAGGATTTTTTTGTTCTAATTCTGTGAAAAATGACATCAGTATTTTGATAGGAATTGCATTGAATCTATAAATAACTTTGGGCAGTATGGACATTTTAATAATATTGATTCTTCCAATTTGTAGCATGGGATGTTTTTCCATTTGTTTGTGTCTTCTATAGTTTTTTTCATCAGTCTTTTATAGATCCCCATGTAGAGATCTTTCAACTCCTTGGTTAAGTATATTCCTAAGTATTTTATTTTATTTTTTTGCAACTGTTATAAATGGTATTGAGTTCTTGATTTGATCAGCACAGGGGTTTTGACCTGCTCCGTTTCTGACCTCGGCTGGTTCACCCCTCCTTAGACAAAGTGGTGGTCTCCCAATCCCAGGAGGTCACCATAGTGATACCGAACTTAGTGCGGACACCCGATCAGCATAGTGCACTACAGCCCAGAACTCCTGAACTCAAGCGATCCTCCTGCCTCAGCCTCCCGGGTAGCTGGGACTACAGGCACGCACCACCGCCTCCGGCTGAGTTCTTGATTTGATTCTCAACTTGGCTGTTACAGAAATGCTACCGATTTGTATACATTAATTTTGTAACTTGAAACTTTACTGAATTTATTTATCAATTCTACGAGTCTCTTGGAGGTGTCTTTAGGATGTTTTATAAGATCATGGGCAAACAGGGATAGTTTGACCTCCTCTTTTCCAATCTGAATGCCCTTTGTTTTTTTCTCTTGCCTGATTGCTCTTTCTAGGACTTCTTGTACTGTGTTGAGGAGAAGTGGTAAAAGTGGGCATCCATGCTTTGTTCAGCTTTACCCCATTCAGGATGTTGTTGGCTGTGGGTTTCTCATATATGGTTTTTGTTTTTCATTCTGTTTATATACTGAATCACATTTATTGATTTGCATACCTTGTATCATCCTTTCATCCCTGGAATGAAACCCACTTGATCATGGTGAATTATTTTTTGGATTCAGTTTGCTAGTATTTTGTTGAGAATTTTTGCATGTGTGTTCATGAGAATATTGGTCTGTACTTTTCTTTTTTTGTTGTGTTATTTCCTGTCTACTAAAGAATATTAGGGTGATACTGGCTTTGTAAGGTCACCCTGCAAATCCTTCGAAGGAGGAGCCCCTCCTTTCCAATGTTATAGAACAGTCACGAAGATTAAGTTATGTGGCAGCAGTTACACAGCTAGTCCATAATGGAATCAGCATTTGAACCTAGGCAATCTGTCCAGAGTTCATGCTCATTGCTGTTATTCTTTGTTGCCTGTGTTAGACTGAATATTATTTTTATGTTTTGTTTTCTCTTTGTCATTAGTAAGTACTTTTTGTACAGAGTAAGTATTTGTGTGTTGCCAATGTTTTCTTCCGCTCTGTTGCTGATCTTTGCACTTTTTTTTGGTACCTTAAAAACTCTTATTTCCTTTTAATTTTTAGATGATCAAATGTATATATTGATTCTTATTTTTAAACACATCAAACAATAGAGGAAGTTTGTTCTTTAAAGTAAATCAGAATTATTATACAAAACAAATTGTTTGCAGCAGCAACTCACAGTTCTTTTTAAACTTGCTGTATCATTTTACTCCTAAAGTTGCTATGTAGTATATACATAATTGTGTTTTGAGAATTGCTTATAATTTCAATCCCTCAGATGGTCATTGAATACCTATTATATGCTAAATATCATTCTGGCAGTTCTGCCCACTCTCTACAGCATTGTTAGAGTTTTGTTCTTCACTGCATCTTTGCCATCAATACACAAGCATGTTCTTTTTCCTCCCTTCTTAAAAATAACCTTCCCTTGGGCCGGGCGCAGTGGCTCACGCCTATAATCCTAGCACTCTGGGAGGCCGAGACGGGCAGATTGCTTGAGGTCAGGAGTTTGAAACCAACCTGAGCAAGAGCGAGACCCTGTCTCTACTATAAATAGAAAGAAATTAATTGGCCAATTAATATATATAGAAAAAAGTTAGCTGGGCATGGTGGCGCATGCCTGTAGTCCCAGCTACTCGGGAGGCTGAGGCAGGAGGATTGCTTAAGCCCAGGAGTTTGAGGTTGCTGTGAGCTAGGCTGATGCCATGGCACTCACCCTAGCCGGGGCAACAAAGTGGAGACTCTGTCTCAAAATAAATAAATAAATAAATAAAATAACCTTCCCTTAACCTCACTTCCTTTTCCAGCTACCACTCCATTTAAAAAAACTACTCTGATACACCTCAGTAAAGCTTATACAGACTACCCTGTTTGAAATTGGAACCCATCCCATCCCAGTACTCACAATTTTCTTTACTCTACTCATTATTTCATTCAAAGCACTTTTATCCTTACATACTGTATAATTTAGTTATCGTGAGTATTGTTTATTTCTTTTCTCACTAGAATCTAAGCTCCATGAAGAAGGAATCTTACTAGCATCTAGTAGGATCTCAGTAAATATTTTTTAAGTGGGTGAATGAATGCATTATGCCAAGTATTGAGGAAACAGAAACAAATAAGATCTTGTCCCAGCAATTAAGCAGTTTACAGGAGAGACAGATTGATTTCAGTGTAATGTGGCACATTCTTTGATAGAGGTTTCCCTAAAAATTTCAGTAGGAAGGGAAACATTTAAAGAAGTTAGCTTGGTTTGGCACTGTGGCTCACACCTGTAATCCTAGCACTCTGGGAGGCTGAGACAGGAGAATTACTTGAGCTCAGGAGTTCAAGACCAGCGTGAGCAAGAGCAGGAGCCCATCTCTACTAAAAATATAAAAATTACCGAGGTGTGGTGGTGCACACCTGTAGTCCCCGCTGCTCTGGAGACTACTGAGGCAGGAAGATGGCTTGAGCCCAGGAGTTTGAGGTTGCAGTAAACTATGATGATAACACTGCACTCTAGCCAGAGCAACAGAGAGAGAGAGAGAGAGACTCTGTCTCAAAAAATAAAATAAAATAAAATAAAGAAGTTATCTTAAACTAAGATTTTCCTTAGCCATAATTTGAAAACCACTTTAAAAGATCTACTAATACATTTTATTTTATATCAGTATAGTATACATATGTGTATACATGTATCAATATACAAGATCTTAGTAAAATAGGTAGATATGTGCAAAAATTTAATCTGAAAGTTTAGATATGTGACAACGCTTTAGTATAAATAAACATTTGTAATCAGCCAGGGGTGAGGAACCTGGCGCCTTGGGGCCACATGTGGCTTGTATCCTTGAGTGTGTCCTTTTGACCGTATCCAAATTTTATTATTTATTAATTTTATTAAATAAATAATAATAGCTATTATTAATTAAATTATTATTTATTTATTAAAAGGATTTGTTCTGTGAAGTTTGGATTCGGTTGAAGGACTGCACTTGGGGATCTGGAGGGCTATGTGTGGCCTTGAGGGCACAAGTTCCCTACCCCTATGTGGTGTATACTATGAATAAATTAACATATCTTCATATTTAAAGATACCAATAATTTTTAATATACAGTTCTTTTCTCTAAACAGAGCGTGTGACCATCTGCGCTGTGTAGCCTGTGATTTCTCGGTAGTAAGCTACAATGACTATATGTGGGACAAATCATGCGATTATCTGTTTTTCAGGTATGTTGCTAAAAAACTTTACTGTGTGAAGAATGTACCACGGACTTTATATTTCTTGTTTTGCTATATTGTCTCTTGGAAGACTTGGCCAGATCATGTGATCTCCACTTCTCTAATACAGTCGTAACACCACGTAATAACATTTCAGTCAATAGACCACATATGACGGTGGTCCCATAAGATTATAATGGAGCTGAAAAATTCCTGTTACCTAGTGATGTCATACCCATTGTAATGTTGGAATGCAGCGCATTACTTGTGTGTCTGTGGTGATGCTGGTGTAAACAGTTACATGCCATACAGGTTCGTAGCCTGGGATCGATAGACAACACCATATGGCCTGGGTATTTAGTAGGCTATACCTACCATCCAAGTTTATATAAGTATACTCTATGATGTTCGCACAACAACTAAATTGCCTAAAACATGGTTCTCAGAAAGTATGCCGTCATTAAGTGACGTATGACTGTATTTCTATCATCCATTTCCTCCTTTCTGTCTGCCATCAGTCTGGATAAGGACATGTTACCTGTGGACAAGAATAGAGAAGTAGCCTCCTCACTGATTTTTCTGCCTACAGTCTCTTTTGGACCATCCTTCCTTTGCTCATAATTAAAGCATAGCTCTGTGTATACCATTCTCCTGCCTTGCACCCTTCTGTTTACAGAATAATGTCCAAATCCCTTAGCATGGCATTCAAGACCCCCATGATCGAGCTCCCATCCATCTATCATCCAGCTTTGTCTTCCCACAATGTATGTTGCACTTTTGCAAGATTTTAGCTATATCAGAGCACTCGGTGCTCCCATTCCCTCTAACTTTTTGCAAGCTCTCCACCTCCTGGGACAACTTCTCACCATTTATCTACCTTAACCCTACCTGTCCTTTAGAATACAGTTTATCACACATCCTCCATAATTCCCTCACCACTCTCTCACCTTGGAAATAATCTCTTCCTTTCCTGTGTGTACATAGCACTTCATACCTGTTACATAATGTGATATAAAATTAAAGATATTAAGTTGGTGTATGACTGGTGTCTAACTCATATAGTTATAATTTGTACATTCTCACACACTTACAGAATACCTAATATTTTTAAGCTGTTACAAGTTATAAAATGCATTTGAACTATGCATTCATATTTTCAAATAAACGTAAGAGCTAAAAAGTAATAAAGTACATATATCATGCATTTTTGACCCCCCAAGCCTGTGCATAAATAAAGACTATTTTCAGATACAAGTAATCAAAATATATTGCAGCACACTTCAATAGCATAAAGAAAAGGGTGAGAGACTTTTTTCCACACCTTTTCTGGCAGGCATTCTCAGGGAAATCCATAGGGATATCCCCTAAATTGATAGCTTTTAAACTTGTTCACATCAAGCACTACTTTGAAAATCTTGTGAAAACTTTGAATCCTCTTCACACACATAAACATACAATTTAAATATGTAAATACATGGGAAAATTACAATTTGAGAGGTTTCACAGGTCCCAACCCAAATAAAACCTAGTGTATTCCCAAAATTCTAGGTCAGTAATCTTTACTCTTAGATTTAGCTCACTTTTTACTACTCTAGTTGGGAAAGTTAGCTTTTAGTTTCAGATTCATTTTGCCTTTTCTGACTTTTCTAAACCCTCTGCTATTTACTATTCTACTAGTTAATCTAATAAGTGGTTAATAATCCCCATATGTCACCAAGATGAACCATGAATTTTTATAAACTAGTGTAGGATGATAAAATGCATGTAACATCAAAACAGTGATGACCACAGGCATAAATTAAACTTATGGGTGACTTAGTTGATAGTTGAGGAACTTGCAGTGTCTCAGAGTCATCAAGAACATCAGTTAGCTTACTCTAGATCTGTGTCAGCCTGGTTTTAAAAAAAAATACGTACTTTTATTTAAACAGTGACAACTAGAAGATTTATTATATGTTAAATATAAGCAAGTAGTCATTGTTTAAATCAGTAGTAAATACTATCTCAGTCCTCAAGATACTTTGGAATATGTTTGGGAGACTGAAAGAGAATGAAACAACTAAAGAGTAAGACTTGTCTGCACCATCAGGATATAAACCACTGATATGATATTATTTTGTATGGCTTATTAGTATTTCTTTATCCAGGAGATATTATTCAATACCTAGTCTGCAGCAATCCTAGAGATGATAATGCCCAGTTTTGAGAGGGAGAGACATCATGGAATAACATCGTTTAGTAAACATGATAGTAGAGCTAGGTTAAAAGAAAGAGGGACATCACAGGGCCAGGTGGATATACTCCACCCTGAGACATCAAGGGAGGCCTTTCAGAGTCTTAGGATAATCAGGAGTTTGCCTAGCAAACAGGATGGACACTGGTATTCTTTTAGGAGATATTTTTGAAGACACAGAGGGGTGAAACCATGTAACATATTTGGGTAGTTACAGGTAGTTTGAATTGTGTAAAGCATTGGGTACAGCATGAGAGATGGCAAGAGTTGCATTAGTAGTAGAGTTGAAGTAGTAGAGATCAAAAGAGCCAGGGAAGCAATACTGAGGAATTTGTATTTAATTCTTTATGCAGTAAATAACACTTACAGGTTTTTAATCAAGAGAGAGATATGAATAGATCACTGATCTCTATGTGAAAACCAGGCCAGTTGAGAATCATGGGGATTAATGAAGGGATGTTGCTGATGCAGTGGGAAAGAAATAGAGAGCTGAATTATGGTAGTGAGGAGGGTAGAGAGAGTAGATGTATTTAAGAGGTAGTCCTGGCTGTGGGAGGTGAGAGACAAATATTATATAGGATACATCCTAGGTTTCTGTCTTGGTTTACATAGGTAGACAGTGATATTGCCCATTGATGTGAGAATGTAAGAACCAATTTGAAGGAAGAGACTATATGTTCATTTATGGGAGCTGTTGAAACTATGGCTCTGGAGCTCAGGTAGGAAATGTAATATATAAAGTGGTAGTTGAAGCCATGAGATTGAATGGTATTACCCAGGAAGACAACTTGGATGACTGTCAGTGAATGTACAGTTAAGGGATTGTTTTGTCAACATAGGAGACACTTTGTTGTTTTTACATATGTATAATGTATAACCTTCTACATTTTGTTCCATGTTCTTATAAACTTATAACCACATATATAGGAATTTTTTCTTCAGTTGCAGAGGAAGTCCTCATCTTCCTATCCAAGGCTCACTTCCCATCAGTGCTCTAGGCCCCATTGCCTCCAGGACATTGTTACTCACATAACCTGTCCCCTCCCATGTCTACCACCCCCCTTGATAAACAATTTATTGATAAAGAGAATTAAATTAGGTTTATCCACTGACCTAGAGGGATATCCAAAGCAAAATGCACAGTAGCATATATAGCATAATCTTGTTTTTATAAAACAAATTTTTAAAAAATTTCTGTATAGGTGGTTATAAGTTTATAAGAACAAGGAACAAAATGTAGAAAGTTATATCTTATACTATATACTATATATAAAAACATCAAACCATGTCCTATCTTGATAAAATGATCCTTTAACTCTGCATTCAGTCTTCCAAGGTGCCTTCCTGACACTTAGGGAGAGCTAGCTACGAAATGGAAGGCTTTTCATATCTGGTGGCCTAATGTTGAGAATGAGGGTGTGATCTGCTGAAAGTGAGGAAGTGAAGGGTAGATGAAACACTTGAGGAGGATGGGAAATAATCACTGAGGGAAGCCAGAAGTGAGCAGTGACCAAAGGCAAGTGAAAAGGTTTGCGGAGTACCACTGAATGTCCGCAGAACATAGGAGATGTTTATTTTTAGCAGTGTCGATCTACACTCTTGTTACACAGTGAAACGCTGTGCAGTTTGTTTTATTGTCCTATTTTACAGGTGAGAGACACAAGTGTATCCTAACTTTTACAATTTTTAGAACTTTCTAAAAGAAATGTAAATTTATTGACCACCCTACCACATTTAATTTTCTGTTAAATCATGTGCTTTAAGGGAAAATAATGAATGATTTTTTTCTAAGCTTTTAAGATATGTGCTTCTTAAAAAACATTTGAAATGTAGTAATTATATCCCTGGATTTTCATGATTTCTATACCTAAAATCTCTAATTAAGGATCTAGTAAAATATCAAATGTTAAGTTCTTAAAACTTATTGCAGATTGAATAAAGGACATTTTCCTTCAACAACTTAGTTTTGGTGATTTTTTTCCTGTTCTTCTCCTAGCTAAGTCATTTGGCTAGTCAGAGACTCAGTTTTCTGAAATCAGACAGTTTGCCTGGAAAATATCTCAGGTTTTGTTAGGTACTACCCTTCTAAATTATACCTGAATTTTGTATTAAACAATGCACGACTGCATGAGGTACCCATTGACCACCAGGGGGCACTTTGGAGCCTGCCTTCTATTGCAGTAATATCAACAAGAAATGGTTAGCACTGTATCACTTTTTTTAGTATTTAAACTGTATTTCATCATTTCCCTTTGTATTTTTTTATCATTTCACTTTTAATTTTTTCATTTTTTTGCCACTGAATGTTTATATAAACACAGTACATGGATTATCATGAAAAATTGTAATTGATTTTATTAATTAAACTTAACTTATGTAATCTTTTTTAATAATAGCATTAAATCTAACGGTTATTATTTTTGTGGTGGTCCTGCTCATTGATTTAATTATTCAACATTAAAAATTACTTAAGGGTATTTATTTTGATTCTAATAATGTAACTAAGCAGATCATTGAAAAAAATGAAAGATACAATCTGAGTTCAGCATATAAAAATAATAGGCACTTTGTTAATGAAAATTTTCTGTAATTAATTAATCAGAAGCCTGTTGTATTTATGCCTCTTGTATTCTTTCCACTTGCCTTATTTCAGGCTTTTAAAATATGGTATAGGTGAGTGTCTGAGGTAGGAGATGGACCACCATCCTTTCTGCCCTATTCTCATATTATGTCATCTCTGACAGGACAAATCAATAACTCTTCAGCCCTTTAGGTTATTGTTTTATGACCATTTTAATAAACAAGCCTATAGAAGTAACATGAAAAGTACTGATTATCAAGCAAATACCATCAGAAAGAGAACACTGAAGCATATCTTCTGTTGTTAGTATGAGGGGACAAAGATTGTTTAGAGTTCATATATTATAAAGATAAGAAAGCAATTAGACTTTATTAGGGAGAGTCATTGAGCACTGAACAAATCTACTGTGCTAAAACCTTCCTGTTTTACTAATAGGAACAACATGCCAGAATTCCACAAATTAAAAGCAAAGTTGGTCAAGAAGAAAGGAACCCGGGCATATGCCTGCCAGTGTAGCTGGAGAACTATCGAAGAACTGACTGACCTTCAGACAGATCATCAGCTTCGTTGGGTCTGTGGTAAACATTAAGAATACAGATTTCACATTCAGACAAATGCATGCATGAGAGCAGTCTCCATTAATATCATATTTAAGCAAAGATTACCTAGCAATATCATGCCCTTTGGAAAAAGACAGTGAATTTTATTTAATGTAACTACAAATTTTTGAAGACCAAATGGACTTGGGAAGATAATGTGTTATAATACTTTGTAATTAATCCTTTTTGATACATAGACATTTCACTTAGTAAAGTGAAAAGTATCCACATTCTTTGCTACTCTATGTCCTGTTAAATGGAAGTTTAATTATAGAGTTTTATACAAATATATAGCCTTTCATTAGCAATTGTAGTATTGACTGCTAATACACTTAGCAAAACATTCCTTATTTATAGTAATTAAAGCAGATAAAGCCAACCAGGGCAGAGAACTCATTTAGGGATGTCTACAACACCTCCTCTAGTCTGATCTAGTATTGCCAAAGATCATAATTTAGACATGGCAAAACCAGGTGATCATTAGCTAACTTAAGAGTTTTCAGGATTATAGATATGTTGTAAAACACTGCCTTATATCTGATCTTACCTTACCAACTCAAAGCAATGTTATACACAATAATAGGTGTATATTACCAGTTTTAGATTATTTCTCCACCTTTTGTTCATTTATATACCAGAAGTTTAGTTTATTTTAGTAAATATCCATTTATATATTAAGAAATTTGTGATGTACCCAAAATCACAAAAATCCTAATCAGGTCATTGTTCGGGTGTCCAAGTACTTAGCCTTTAATGCCTAATGCTCCATCAAGTGAAGTGAACAGCAAGTAAGATAATCTTTCAGGCAGCCTGTGGACTTTTCTGATAGGATCACGTTGACATATTGTTTATTAGATGAGTACATAAAATGAGAAATAAACCATAACTGTTTTCATCTTTTGGGCTCCTTCTTCCTCAAGGAGACTTGAGGAATCCTACAAAAGCAGCACCTTCAGGAAATCATGTACCTCAAAATTCCAGCTCCCAGCCCCATTGAGAAATTCTGGGAACTCTCCAATCTGCCAAAAACTCTTTGCCACATATGGTTCAAATGTGTGACACGAAGCACACTGAAAAGGAATCATTGAAGCAAAGTTATGATCTGCTTAGTCTTATGCTGAATTCATTCCACTACCCTACTGAAGCAAGAAGATCTGATCATTAAAATCCCTTTCCTAGCCATGACATATTTGCATACTTGTAAAACTTACTCTAGTAAGTCTAACATTGCAAAAGAACAAATCTCATAGTGGCTCATACTTTTGTATTAAGGATATGTTTACAGATTTTATCTTTCAGTAAAATTTTTTTACTTCCTAAAATTATATGTCTGTGTAATTGTGTCAGAAATGTAGGGGGATTTGGTTGAAGTCAACTATTTGAAAAAATAAAGCAACAAGATCCACACTTTCAGAACCTAATAGAATTTGGCACATTAGTTATAAGGGTGAAATTTTCTTTTTATTCTGATAAGCAAATTTACTAAGTCCTTAATTTGAAAATTTTTTTTAATCTACTTTACTTTGCCTCTACTACGGAGACATAAAATTGTCCTGTTTCATTTTTTTCTATTTTATTATTTCATTATAACTATCCTAAAACTTGATTACATTGCCCATATTTGGCATTCCATAACATAATAATTCTCCCCTGTCAGAAATATATATATGAGTTCCCATTTTTATTGGCAGTTTAGTTTATAAGCTTTTTAATATTGTGCTATTTTAATCTAAAATGTAGAAAGACTATTATATGTCTACATACAAGTGGATAAATTATTACCTGTTGTAATTTAAGCCAAAATATACCTATTCTAGTATCAGTAGAGAAGAAAAACATAGTTTCTAATCAACTATAATTTTTAAATGCAAAGTCTATAAAACTTTGAAGATGTTTTGTCTATTTTAAATATTTATAATAATTTTCTACCTTTAGCAAGTACTTATTGTCAAGCCAGGTAACTACTTTATCTGAACTATACTATTCTCAGACCCTTATTCTACCTAGAAATGAGTAAATAATAATAGCTTTATTTTCTGTTCAGTTACTACTTTTATTTTATAATAAAATATTTATAGGGGCATTAATTAAAATAATTTTGATAATTTCTTTTAAAATGTCAACAGAAAAGTTTCCAACCATCCAGTTGAACAAAGAATTTGTTTACACTGGGGAGGAGAAGCATGCCATAAGTTACAGTGTGTGTGTATTTGTGTGTGTGCATGTATACATGCATGTATAAAAGAATGTAGATATTCAAAGCGACAGTTCCAGAAGAACAGACCATGATGACATGGTGGTATTATATATAGATCCTGTTTATTGATGTCGGTAACTTAACACCCTTCTTTTTTTTTTTTTTTATTTCGGCATATGATGGGGGTACAGATTTTAAGGTTTCAATAAATGCCCTTTCTCCCCTCCCCTCACAAGTCTGAGTCTCCAGCATGACCATCCCCAGACGGTGCACATCTCACTCATTAGTATGTATATACCCACCCCCCGGCCTGCCCAACCCTATTATTGTAAGTACCTATGTGTCCACTTAGGTGCTGCTCAATTTAATACCAGTTTGCTGTTGAGTATATGTGGTTCTGTTTTCCATTCTTGGGATACTTCACTTATAGTAGGATTCCAGCTTCTAACCGGAAAATATAAGATGTGCATATATCACTTGTTTCTTAGAGCTGATAAGTACTCCATGGTATAACATATACACATTTTTAATCCTTCCTTGGATTGATGGGCATTGGGCTGCTTCCCACCTTGCATTATGAATTGTGCTGCTATAAACATTCGAGTGCAGGTGTCTTTTTTGAGAGTGTCATTGGATCTTTTGGGTAGATGCCCAGTAATGGGATTGCTGGATCAAATGTAGATTCACTTGTATCGCTTTAAGGTATCTCAAATTGCTTTCCACAGAGGTTGAACTAGTTTGCAGTCCCACCAGCAGTGTAGGAGTGTTCTCTCTCGCCACATCACAGCAGCATTTTGTTTTCCGTGGTCTTTTTGATAAGGTCCATTCTCACTGGAGTTAAGTGATATCTCATTGTGGTTTTGATTTGCATTTCTCTGATTAAGAGATGTTGAGCTTTATTTTTCAATGTTTGTTGGCCATTCTATCTGTCTTACTATTAGAATTCTGTCAACCAGTCTTGCTCACTTTATAATAGGTTATTTGATTTTTTCTTGTGATTTCAATGAGTTTCTAAGTATATTCTAGTTATCAGCCCTTTATCAGATGCGTAGGAGCAAAAATTTATCCCATTCTGTAGGTTGTCTGTTTTCATGACTGTTTCTTTGGCTGTGCAGAAGCTTTTTAGTTTGATCATCGTCCCATTATTTATTTTTTATTGTTGATCATGTGATAGAACATACAATGGAGAGACATTTTTCATAAACTCTTTGCCTAGGCCGATGTCTAGGAGAGTGTTTCCAACATTTTCCTCTAGAATTCTAATAGTTTCATACCTTAGGTTTAAGTCTGTTATCCAGCGTGAGTTGATTTTTGTGAGAACACCCTTCTTTATTTGGGCCAAAGAAGATGACATCGGACTATGAATCTGAATTGCTTTCTCTTTTTCTTACTGACCTAATATTTTAAAATATGAAAAAAAAATTTGTATCCAATAGTAGTGTGATGAAGCTTAGCAGTAAATTTCAAATGCTGGTATTTCTTAGCTGTTATATTTTAGCAAAATCTATCAGCTAACATCCTGCTCCAAGTAATCAGGTCTATCATGTAAAATAATTCTGAAGCAGAGAAAAAATTCAAAACATGCAATGTCTTTTGAGGTTTCACATCTTACAGTTTTTGGGGTTTGTGACACCATTTCATGCCTAGTTTTAAAAGATTGAAGAGGATATATAGATATATACATGGATGATAATTAAATTTTCCTTTCCTTAAATACCTTGAGATGATGACAAAATGAAGGGTTAACTGAATCAGAGTTGAAAGTCATGTCCTTTAGAAAGTTAATTAACATTTTTGGGCTTCATTTGCTGCATCTATGTGAATGGTGCTCTCTCTTTTGTAAGCATGTAGTAAGGATTAAATCATATAACACATGAAAAGTGACTAGCATAGTATTTGGTTCAGAATAAGTGCTTAATAAATGTTCTCATTCTTTTTCCTTTTAAAATGAATACTGTCTAAATTAAAGTAATAGTGCAGCACGTTTCTTACAGCAAGTCATTTGACCACATTTGTTTTATTCATTCCTTATAAGAAAAGCAACAATCCTGCCATTTCTATTTTATAACTAGTGAATGCTAACATGACCACCTTTATTTTGTGTAAATTGAAGCCCCAACTTGCCTTTAAAAAAAAATGTTCCCCCTAGCCTTCCTCTTCCTGTCTGGCTTAAATTTAAGTGGGTCATCATGAAAGCATTCTGGACCTTTTGCAGATCTTTTCAGTTTTATCTGCCTCTGCTTTGTTCTTCCTCCAACCACACTGCCTACCTACTGTTCCTCAGGTATACCTCACATTTTACTCCCCTCACTCATCTTACCCTATCAAAATCCCGCTCAGTTTTCAAAGCCAGCACACCAGCAATTCTCAAAGTGAGGTCCATTCTCTGGGGTCTTTCAGGGGGTCCATAAGATCAAATCTGTTTTCATAATACTAGGATGTTAATTTCCTTTTTCAAAGTGTCGACATTTGTATTGATGGTGGAAATTGTAGGTAAAACTGCTGGCACCTTACTGAGCACCATTTGAAGCAGTGGCGTAATGCACTTGCCTTGAAAAACAAAAGGAAAATAAATAAAAACCAGTTTCATTTAAGAATCTCCTTGATAAAAGCAGTAAAATTATTAATTTTATTCATCTCAGCCTTCAAAAACATATTTTTTAGTATTCTATGTGATTAATTGGGAAATACACATAAAGTACTTGTATAACTGTCTGATTTTTGAGCTGAATAAACTGCTTTTTTCATGGAACTTAATTTTTGCTTGAAAGAAGAACTGACAAGCTGTGAGTATTCAGAAAATGAGTAAGGTAAATCCCCTCCAGGAAAGTAACTGACAGTATTCTAAGCGAAAATTAGAATTTTAGAAAACTTGTATCCACCACTGTGAGCATGACAGTTTCCCAATACTTAAATTCTTTCCAGATGGGACTAGTGGTGATATTAACAAGTGATTTTTTTGATACTATATAATGAAATGTGACAATATTTGGAAGATCTGTATAATTCAACAAACCCATATTGCCAAATAACCTATGCATGATATATATAACAAAAGTATGCATTTAAAGTACAAGAAAGACCAATGGATTTTTAACATAATAGAGTACTGAAAGTTCATCTGATACAATTTCAGTTTCCACATTCCAACTAACTTTTGACACTAGTACTTGTCAAGGTTTGATATAGTATTAAAGAATGGCCACAATTATCTAAAAAGACTGTTAAAATACTCTGTTTTTTTCCAACTACATTTCTGCATGAGGCTGAATTTTTTCCGAAGGCTTCAACCAAAACAACCTATCTCAAGAGAGTAAATGCAACAGTAGATATGAGAATCAAGCTGTCTTCTGTTAAGCCAGAGATTAAAGAGATTGGCAGAAACATAAAATAAATGCTACTCTTCTCACTATGTTTATTTAATTTTAATTTCTAGTACAATAATATCAATAGAACCACAAAAAAAAGCAAGCTCTTTGGGGTTCACAGTCATGTGTAAGAGTGTAAAAGGGTCCAGAGACCAACAGGTTTGGGAACTGTTGTACACAGTCCTGATTACTCTCCCTACCCACACCCAACTGAAGCCTACGTATGAAATTTCTCCCCCTTCCATCTGCTTTTGGCCTTTCTATTTCTTATGTAATACCTTGCATTATAATTATTTATGTTCTTATTGTATTCATCTCGGAGATGAGATT